ACTACAATTTGAAAATCAATGCAAGAAATTTAAATATATACATAGATCTAGATAGATAAAACAAACCAGGTTAAAGCTCATATTTTTTTAGGAATATAAACGTTTATTCCTGTTTAAAAAAAGTTGCACGGTCAATGTAGAAGTACTAAAACATTCTATGAGAGAGGAAAAACAGGGTTGGTCCTCTACTAATTTAGCAGAAGCAAATTCTGATTGCAACTCATTTTTAAATCAGTGTGAACGTGTCTACGTTTTGTGTGCACATCCCCATCACCAAGACCAGAATATATGATTTTTGTTTCCAGCAATGCAGAGAGAGAATCGGAAGCCAATAATTACAAAGAAGAGATTACGACCCACCACCAAGATAATTCAGTATTAGGACCTTAGTGGCTAAGATAATTAACAACACCGAGAAACAGTTATTCCAGAGTGACTTTTTTCATTTCTTTTACTAACAGGGAATTTAAATTAGATTTTCAAGAATCAGTTATTCACCATATTTTCTCAGATTTAAATACTTCTTATTTCTTGATAATTAACTTTAAGATCATACTGACATCAAGAGAAAATATTATTTATCCTTGTGTGCACCTTAAACCACTGGCACTGACACAGAACACTGGTTTCATGTTCCAAAATCTGTAGGTTATTTTTAAAGATAAAGTGTAGCTGAAACATATTTAATACCCAATTGTGGCTAGTCCCTAAGCTCTTCACTGGCATTCAATGATTTATTTTTGAGAATATGGCTTATGCCACATATACTCATTTTCAAATGTCATTTACTAAACTTTAAGGATAATTGAAAATATTTATATAGGGACAAAACTGCATAATATTTATACATGTAAATTTTTTTAATCGAGATTTGACACTATTTTCAGCTCAGCTATTATCTGAAAACATACTTGTGAATGAAGGAAATAGAGCACTACACACTAGGAAAGAAATGTTAATAAACACTATTCTCTATCCTGGTGCCTATCATGCTTTCAGTAAGAGATTTCATTTTAAAACAAGTATTGGTTCCTGTTGAATGGCTTATTATCTGCAAAATTCTTGCAAACTCTTTCAAGGAAATAACACTTCAAATACCCCAATTATAGACAAATGCAAGAACACTAGCCTTCTTGGAGGAGATGAATGGGAGGAACAAGATGTGTTCTAAAAATCGACCTTGCATTGCTGAATTTCTCAGAAACCTTGCCAAACTATATAGCCTGTCTCAGGTATTACTGAAATGTAGCAATACTAATTGGGAGGCTAGGTATGGTACACAGCAGGTGCTCAGTAAGTGTTTTATTTTTAACTCATAAAAAACTAAAGTTCAAAATATTGATCTCATGTACACACTCAACTACTATTAAACAGAAATATGGCACAGAGGTTTTTTATTTGGTTTGCTTTGTTAAAACAATTTGATCAGACTTTCTTTAATGGAGGTCTTCTAACAATTAATTTTAGTATCCAGAAACTAATAATAAAACCCAGGAAATTACTCACTCAACATTTTTAAGTTCATAAAGCTAGTTTTCACATTATGCTCAAATTGAGACCTCCAGAAAGCTAAAAAGCTGAATCAGGAGTAGCAGATACGCTGAGATTTGCTTCTGTCATCTACTTTACTGAACCTCCCCACTTTTGATGTTAGCAGACTGGAAAACACACAGCTGATTACCATGGTGTCAATATTTTGGTTTCAACAGCCTCTGCCAACACTGCCATGCACTGCCCAAAGAGGCCAAGAAAATCTGGCAATTACTAACGGCCCAGATAAAAGTTAATGAGGTAGCAATCTTCATACACTAGGAACACAGGGACCACATGCAGCACACTAGCAGAAAATAAAAATTACTTTGGCTTTTCAGATGTGGACTAAAATGATTGTAAAAAAATATAATTCATTATATTCTAGCCTTATAGTATAGGCTTTTTAAAGTTGGTAAAATATATATTCTGCAACCCTTATCTTAAAAAGTACTAGTAAATGTCACTTTTTTTCCTATTTCCCTTTCACAGAATACATAAATTTTACTTTAAATTTACTAATGTTAGCCTGTAAAATTTAAGTCCAAAGTCCACCCTACCTTCTTATGTCTAATAAAATATAGTTCCTCAGAGACTCGGCATTTAGTACCACTACAGCCAGAAGGCCAAATGCAGCCACAGCCTATTTTTTATACTGCCCATAAGCTAAGAATGATTTTTGCATTTTTAAAGGGTTATAAGAAAAAAAAAATGCAACAGATACTGCTTGTGGCTCACAAAGCTTGAAATAGTATCTGGCCCTTAACAGAAAAAGTTTGCCAGCCCCTGACTTCTATCTATGAGAAGTTCTAAATGAACGTCCTGTTCCTACTAACTTGAATATAATTCTTTTTGGTGTTTGTGTTTTAGTTTCATGCTGAAGACCAAAACTTAGAGCATGAAAAAAGTAACTGCTAATACAACCAGGCTTTCAAATAACAAATAAATAGTAGCAGATGTAACAAATGCTCTGCAGAAAATAGGGCTTCAGATTTCACAAAAACTGGTGATGTAAAATTTATGAAAATGTACATATTTCATTTTATAATCTCCACAATTAGTACTTGGAATAGCTCTTTAACATCTTTCAAAAGCATGCAAATATCAAATTAATTTCAACAGAGGACGATGAATAAACTTTTGAAAGGCAAATCAGTAAGTCTATGTAATAAAAGAAATCAAAGATTAGAAATTAAATATCTAACATAGTTTAGCAACATAAATTACATAAAGGTATCAAAAGAGGGTGTAAATATAAAGTGAACACTAGAACGTTAAGAAAATATTCATTCCTTTGTATCGCTATATTTTAATTACATGATCCTCATAAATGTCTACAAAGCAAATTTAAGTCAATCCACTTCCATATCATACACACGACATACATCTTCCCTACCTCCCCCCTCAAAAACGGTGTAAATCCTAAAAATCTCCTTTAAAATGAAAGCAGGTAGTTTTCTGATCAATTATAAATCCTATGTGGTATATTCAAGCATTAATGTCAAACACTAAGAATCAACCAGTCCTTCTGAGTTAGTAACCACAGAAAAAGGAAAGATGACACAGTTTTAGGTCTTATCAAATGAGAAGTGGAGGGCAACACTGTGGGAATAACAAGTGTTTTACTATCCTCTATTGCAGTGGTTCTCAACCTGTGGGTTGCGACCCCTTTGGGGATCGAATGACCCTTTCACAGGGGTCGCCGAGTACTCATATATGGGTGTATCTGCATGTGGGCCTGGAGACGGATAGAGGAGCGGTGTCTCGGTTCCTAAGACCATCAAAAATATGTGTTTTCCAATGGTCTTAGGCGACCCCTGTGAAAGGTTGAGAGCCGCTGCTTGCCTTTCTACTCCAACTGTGGTCCATGTACCAAAATCAGCATCACCTGAGAGCCTGTTAGAATCACAGAATAACAGGTCCCAGTTTAAACCTACTGAATTAGAATCTGGATTTTAACAGTTCATTCATATGCATATTAAAGTATGAGAAGCACTGCTCTATTTGCAGTCTGTTACATTAGGCAAAATCTCTTAGGTTTTTTTTTTTCCTCTTCTTTATAAAATGTAAACTAAAATGTTAACTAGTTTAAAAAATATCTTTTAAAAGTTACAAATAATGCAAGTTAATAAAATGTTAATGGCATAATCTAGGTAGTAGGTCTGCAAATGCTTTCAGTAAAATTCCTCCCATTTTACATTGGAAAAATTTTCATAAGAAAATGTTGGGAGAAAAAGCTATATATATTAGAATTATGTTTTCTAAGTACCTCCTCGCTAAGGGTAAGGAATCTGGTCAGAAAGACCAGTGCAAAACAAAAACAAACCTCTTCCCAATCTTTGGTACATGGGAACGGATTCAAATGAAATCTTAATTCCTCTAAAGTAAATGAAGTGACGTATATAGTTGTCTTTCTTTACCCTATAAATAAGGTTTTAGAATAAGATATTTGTACTATGGTCAAACTACAGAAATTCAGTTTTTCATTCTAGAATGCCTGTTTTTGTAAGTTAAACCATATAATAAGTTCATCAATTTTCTTAACTGCTCTCATTAGTGTTCTGGACTCACATGTTCATGTAACCAGACAAAGCCCCAAACATTCATCTTGTATGGAACATAAATTGATCAATTTCTTAACCTATGAAAATTATATTTCATAATGCCCCTTATATTCCTTTTTAGGATTTTTTTCTTTATGTTAAACTCTTATTTCATACAACTAGGTTAAATAATATCGATTGAAATTATTTTATTTCACCTAGAGAAAAAGTTATTTTTTAAAAGGCAGGTAATTTTTAAAACAAAATTCAGGGTCAACCTGGCATTAATTTTTGTCAGAACACAGTAAATGAGTAACTGAGAATTTCTATTTACTTTCTAGATATTTCCTTGCTTTAATGGAATGTTTTTTGTCTCCAAAAACAAAGATATCCTTTAAAAAAAAATTCTACCAAAGTAAAATTCTTCAACTACTACAAAATTTAATCTAGAAACATATGTGACATAATACTCTTAAAAGCACTTCTGAAACAGAAAACTAAATGTTTGTTCCCCTGTTCTTCCACTTTATAAACATAAAAGCAAAAAAAAAAGATCCCCACATTTCTTGAATCCTGAATATAAGATGTGATGAGTTTTAGACAATGTTCAATGTGGAAAGAAACCAAAGCCAAAAGTAATGCCAAGGACACTTGAATACCAAGTGTTGCCCTCACATATCCCTAAAAGAATATTTAACAAATAAACACTGCTTTACTTCCTATTTAGCATAATGGAAAGAAAAACTGATAAATTACACTGATCAACAGAAAAGTTACTCTCTCAGGTATATACATTTATTAATGTTCTTGCCCTCCTGCCCCCAAAATGATGTTATTAGACTAGATATTAGTAAATTATGATTAATGATTAAGGTCACGACATAGTTTGCAGAAAACAGATTTATATTTATTACAATTTTTACTTACCTGTCTTGTCTTTGCTGATGTTTCAATAAAAGGAATGCCGTAACTTCTTGCTAAGTCCTGAGCCTGTTTTGTGTCTACTGTTCTAGAAGGCAAATCACACTTATTTCCTACTAGGACCATAGGTACATCTTCAGAGTCTTTAACTCTTTTTATTTGTTCTCTGGGAAGGAAAAAAAAAGTTATAGCAGAAGTATTAGTGACATAAAAATACTTCAAAAATTGTACACAACTTTGTCTTATAACATACAACTGAAAGAAGACTTTTAACATAATTTCTAGTTCCCACCACACCAAATTTTCCTTCCTGGTATTGTTTTCCTCCATCTTAAACAGAGAACTCCTGTGTCTCGTAGAAGATCAAATACCTACAAATATATTAAAACTATAATCTAATAGGTTCATATACAGGTAGGTCACGTGATACAACAGAAACTATTGAAAAATTCTAGGTAAAAAAAAGTGCTATTCCTGATTTTTAAAATTATAATCTTAGAAACATATACTATATATGTTGTTAAATGTGCATGTATAGAATTTAACATGTTTTTATAAAAACATGAATTACAACATTAACATGATTTTCACATTCTTTTCCAAGAAAAGAGCACTAAGGGCAAGGATTTTTATTTCTATGTGGACAACACCGACATTACTACAATTTATTCTGTAAAAGTCCTTCTACATGTTGATATTTTTCAATAAGATGTGCATAAACTCTAAATTTGAGATAAAATTATATTCCCTCAAAATTTTCAGTGAATTTCAAAGATACAGTATGGAATAAAAAGCCAGCAGACAATGGAGTCTGAACTGACTCAAATTCCCAGTTCCTCTACATATTAGCTGAGTAAACTTGGATAAGCTAACATATTTACACCTATTTACTATTCTACAAAATATTAGCACTCACCCAAATATCATTTTCTCTATTACTAGAGAGAAAACATGCTCTAAGAAATGAATATAGCCGATGCATGTGATATTTGTTTAATATGCAGTTTCATGAAAACTGTAAACCCTCAAAGAAACAGAACATAAACTATCCTTAATAACGATTATTTTAATAAAAGTAATTTCAGGCAGATTTGTCAGCTTCTTTAAAAACTGTAATTGTCCTAATACTTCAATCTTTGACAACTTTAGAATTGTGGTTCTTTTTCTTAAGTATCTAATATCCGATACCAAGAAATTCTAACTAAATATATTTGATTACTTTTAAGGCTATTTGAGTGGCACCACCTCAGTTACCTCTTGATATTTTTTAGATGGTTTTCATTTTTATGATGACTCTAGCTTATGCCTTGTTTTCCTGGTGTAGAGTGGTTAAGAGCACAGGTTTTGGAGTCAAAGAGGCCTAGCCCTCAATCCCAGCACCAGCACTAACTATGCAATCTGGAACGAGTTAGCCAACTTCTCTAATCCTCAAACCTTAATTTGTAAAACGGGGACATAACCTATGTCATAATTATTTTAAAATTTAAACCAGATAATTTCTGTACGGTGGTTAGCAAAGACTCAAAAATGGAAGATACAATTACTCCTCAATGTCAATTTATTATATTTAATTTAAACCCACCTATAATGGTGAATATCTTCAAATGATTTAGTATTATTTATGGCAAATACACAAAGAAAGCCCTCCCCAGTTCTCATGTATTGGTCCCTCATTGCACTGTACTCCTCTTGACCTGCTGTGTCGAGAATATCCAAGAGACAGGTTTCTCCATCAATTACTACTTGTTTCCTGTAGGAATCCTGAGAAGGGAGAAACACAGTCTAGATTATTATGGTGTACCTTTTACTTTAAAAAAAGGTGTTAGACACAAGAAAAAGAACCCAATCCAAAACTGGGCAAATGACTTGAATAGGCATTTCTCCAAAGATACACAAATGGCCAAGAAAGATGTTCAACATCATTAGGCAAATGCAAATCAAAACTACAATGAGCTTCCACTTTACAGCCATTAAGATGTGAAATGTAAAGAAAAAAAAAAATAAACAACGACAAAAAAACCAGAACCGGACTCATAGATACAGAAAACTCATGGTTTCCAGATGGGAGGGGGGCAGGGTGAAAAGGTGAAGGGATTAACAAGTACAAATTGGTAGTTACAAAATAGTCATGAGGATGTAGAGTACAGCATAGGGAACACAGTCAATAATATTGTAATAACTATGTATAGTGCCAGGTGGGTACTAGACTGAGATCACTTCACTTTGTAAATTATATAAATGTTAACCACTATGCTGTACACCTGAAACTAATATAAAATAATACTATCAACTATAATTGAAAAATTAAAAAAAAAACAAAAACAAAAAAAACCACACACACAAAAAGGTAAATAACAAGTGGTAGCAAGGATGTGGAGAAACTAGAACCCTTGTCCACTGCTGGTGGGATGTAAAATGGTGCAGCCTTTGTGGAAAACAACTTGGCAGTTCCTCAAAAAGTTAAACATAGATTAATTACCTTACCATATGATCCAGCAATTGCAATCCTAGGCATATAACCAAAAGAATTGAAAGCAGGGACTCAAACAGATACTTGTATGCCAATGTTCATAGCAGCATTATTTATAATAGCCAAAATACAGAAACAACCCAAGTACGAGTATCTATTAGCAGATTATTAGTAAACAAAATGTAGTATATACACACAGTGGAATATTATTCAGCCATAAAAAGGATGGAAAAACTGGTATGTGCTACAATATGGATGACCCCTGAAAACATTACACTCGTGAAATAAGTCAGACACAAAGACAAATATCTATGATTCCACTTATATGAGGTACCTAAAATAGGTAAAGTCACAGATATAAAAAGTACAACAGAGGTTACCTTGGGTTGGAAGTGAAAAGGCTGGAAAGTTATTGTTTAATGGGCATAGTTTTAGTTTGGGATGTTAAAAACATTCTGAAAATAGAGCTAATGACTGCCCAACATTGTGAATTTACTTAACACCACGGAACTGTAGTTAAAAATGGCTGCAATGGTGAATTTTGTTATGTATATATTAATTACAATTTAAAAAAAGTTTTAAGAAAAGGTGTTATACAGATATTCAACAATGCAAGTGTATATATTAGTAACAAAAGACCCAAATTCTTATAAAAAATTATTTTTACAAAAATAGGATAGCTCTACCAACTCTATTATTCAGGGTGATTTAGATGGCAAGAAAAATCAACTTATGATTATTATGCATCTATTTTACTCATAGCCAAAGGAATACATGAGAAGGGTCAATACTAAGGAATTTAAAGCCTTTATCCATTATTACTTATGCCTAAAAGATTTCACACATACTTTACCAAAATAAGCCTGAAAAAATAAGGAAAAAGGAATGGTGCAATGTGCAGCCATGGAATAAGGGACAGGGCTGACGATGGCTATAAAGTATAAACCATGGGCACTGTTTCTTATTGTCCTACATGTGGGCTGTAGCACTCAAGTGTCTGTAGTTCATGAATTACTTCATATACCATTCCATCATGAAAAAGAGAACGGTCATTAAAAATCATCTTTTTGATAAAATGATTTTTAAATGTTTACCATTGAAGAATACAAAGATATATGTGTAGCATGATCCCAATAAAATATATGTACATATCTGTACATATATTTAAAAACTGATGGTATTATATCAAAATGTTAACAAAGGCTGTCTTTGACGAAGATAATTTAAGAAAGAACTTATCTCTTTTTTTGGTACTAGATACTATGTTAAATGTATTCCTTTTTTTTTTGCTTTTAATTTTTAAAAGTATGAAAGATTACCATATTTGACTATGTTCTCATGCTTGTCTTTTAAAGTAAACTGTATTTTCCAAACTGTCTATAATAAACATTATTTCACCAGTCAGAAAAAAAGGATAAGTATTTATTTTCCAAGAAGCTCTTTACTTAAAATTTGAACATTTGGTTGACATTTTATTATTTTAGCCTATTCCCTTAATTAACTACTTGAAAGAACTCTTGTATGTTATAAACTTTAAACCAGTGTTTTTGAAGTATAATGAAAGAGCAGGAATTGAGAGCAAAGTACAGTGTCTTGAAATAAATCCATTCATTACCCAGGTGTGGCTGCAGACCAAAGACTTCTCCTTACCTGTTGCTGTCACTTCGCAGTCTTCACTAACCAATACTAACCTAAGTTAACCTTATAGTTAATAGTTTCCTTAGTTTTTGAAGATAATATGTTCTACCAACAATAAAAGTAAAGACTATAGTTTCTGGAGCCACGAGTCTATACTGAAGGTGTGTCTGGCAAATTACTCATCATATGCCCACATATAATGCCTTGATAAAGTCCCCTTTACAAAATTTTGAAATATTTTGTGTTTCAAAAGCATATCATGCAGAATATTAGTTTATGCACATATTTCATAACATATTTTGATGATAAATACTCCATCAAAGTGACTGAGAAACCTGGAAAGCAGTCCCCATTCACCTATCTATCTCACTCCTAAAATCTTTTCCCTTCTAAGCCCTAAAAATACTAACAGTCAAGTTCTGCGTCACATTCAGCTTTTGAAAAAAGTAACTTACAACCTCCTTATAAACAATGAGTAGAACCTGCTGATTAGAAATAATAGGTTTAGATTTAAAACTTCAGTACTTCCAAAGTTAATTTTAACTAGCCATCCTTAGAAACACAATGTCACTGGCTATATAAAAAGGCAGTGCAACTTGGTAAAAACTTAACGAAAGTGTTAAAAGGCAAAGAAAGTATGATCTGCAAAGAACTGCCAGGTCTGATGACAAAGCAGAAAGCAAGTACAACAAAAATGATATATAAATACTAAAGATTTTGTTCCAACTTCAGGTTAGCCATCAGGAAGAAGTACAGGGAAGTAGAAAAAAATGTGGTCATCAATGTGGAATCTTTCCCAAGATTAGAGTCTAAATAAGGAAGGGTTCTGCAAACAACTGCCCACAGGCCAAACCCTGCCCACCTGTTTTTGTATGGCCCATAAGCTAAGAATAGTATTTACATTTTTAAATGGTTGTTTAAAAAAAAACAAAGATTATGTGACAAAGACCCTTTACAGAAAAGTTTGCCAACCTTGCTCTATGTTAATAAAATACCTTTTCATAAATCTGAAGTATTCTCAAAACCTATTATTTATTCCTTTTATATAATACTTAAAAAAAAACACATCACCACTCTTGAGAAAGTACAGGTTATCAAAGCCCAACCAATTTAAAAACACAGATTCTGCAATGAAATTAGTTAAGAATAGAGCAAGAAAAGGATCAAGACTTAATAGTCTTTGTTTTGTTTTGTTTTGGTTTTTAAGGAGGGCACAGCTCACAGTGGCCCATATGGGGATTGAACCAGCAACCTTGGTGTTATCAGCACCACGCTCTAACCAACTGAGCTAACCGGTCACCCCAAGACTTAATATTCTTAATAAGTATTATTTCCAGCTTTTCAAATAGAATAAACACTCAGATCAGGTACATAAGTTACTAACACACTTTGGAAACCAGGACAAAATAAAGCCACTTTAACTCAATATAATAAAATATTAAATGAAAGAAAGTTATTTCATATATTTTCCCTTACTCCTAAAGTATTGTTTTATTTACTGTAGAGTAAAAACTCTTCTAAACGAAACATACTATGCCAGCAAAAGTTAACTGTAGATAGAACTCAAACATTTCTAGTGATACCATAAACAGGCACAATCCTTTTGAAAAGCTATCACAGTATTTATCTCAACAACCATACAAATGTTTGTTCACAGGCTTTGACACAGTAATGTCACTGCTGGTAAAAGATGCTAAGGAAATATGGTTTATTTATTTTAAGTGATAGTTACAATAGAAATACACTTAACGTGGTACCCTAAGATGTCTTACAAAGAAAAATTACATAATACAATCTTACTCCATTCACCTATCTTCAAAGTACACTCAAAATCCAAGCATGCGGCACCACCACCACCGATCCCCCTAGTCCATGATAACTACATATTTTGTCTCATGCAATCCCTTGCAACTTCTTCCTAGCAAGGATCCCTGTTGTTACTCTTAAAGGATATATTCTCCACACAGCAGCTAGTAATCATTTTTAAATGTTACTTGACTTAAATGTCACTTGCTTGCTTCCTCTTAATAGCATCCCTTGATTTTTAAAAATAAAATCCAAAGGACTTATTACTCTCCTTCCTCAGCACCTGTTTCCTTCGTATCTGTATTATAATTTGTAACTGTGTATTTATTTGTGTAATTGTTTAAGGCTATAATCCCCTCCCTACCAGGCTCTAAACTCCATGATGGTTGAGCTCACAGGTTTGGCTCACCATTATACACCCTGTGCGTAAAGTAAGTCTTCAACACAACAGATAATCAGTACTGTCTGTTGAATAAATGAATGAATCTATTCAATGTAAATATATGCAGACACTATTAGACTGTCTTATCAAAATAAGCACAAGTTTAATATATTTAAATTATATTAAAACAATTAAGTTATACAATTTTAATCTAAGAGTATTTTAATAAATGTATTCAAGCAAGTTTAATATAATGTGAAATCTTTAATGTAAAAACAAAAAATAATAGAGATATTAAAATATTTACGGGAGGGAAGAGAATAAGATTGCAGAGAAGTATACAGGGGCCATCAACTGTATTAAGTTTTATATCTTGAGAAAGAAAAAGGATCTAAACCAAATGTGGCAGAATGTTAAGATATAACAAAGCTCACTGGTGTACACATGATGTTCATTATACTTCTT